TTGGTAACGCCATCTACAGAATGCACCGTGCAGTATTCTCACGCGAACAATACAACTACAGGGACACGCGTAACGCGACAATGGCGATCTGAAAGACTGGCGTGCGCTTCCTTGCTGCATATACTTTTGACATCTCGCCAGTGTTTACCGTGCCCTTTTTGCATGTTCGTGAATGTGAAATACATTCGTGCTACCGTAAAATATGTGACTGGTGAAGTGGAAAGGCAAAAAACTAGAAATCGCGTCGATCCAGCCGTTAAAGCTAGCTAGGCGCACGACACAATTCAATGGTGTTGGTCCCTGCCGAAAAAACGGGAAAGCCATGTATACGTCGATATCTTGCCAACTATAATGCGCTGGTAAGTATACGAATTGTTTTTATTTCTCATGCCTGCCGCTTGTTTCCAGCCGTACACCCCTTGCATACCGCTGAACGTAGTAACTGATTTAGAAAAATGTGTAGGTTAGGTTGGCCTGAGAAACTGGCATCGGCAGATTTTATTTTGCTCTCTTTTCAAGGGGTTCCCTATTTTTTTTACATTACTTTTATCACTTCGAACGTGCTGTCGTTCAAGATCATGTATCGTTTTTACTCGAACGATGGTTATTTAAACGGGACATACTGGAATATTCCTTATTTATATTAGCATACAGGGTATAGTAACATCCAACCATATATGTATTTACCTTAATGTATACACTTGCGAATGTGAAATTATAAATATACCTTCAAAAGTGATAATAACGAAATACATGAACACAGTAATGGTAAATTACAATATTCTTGCCTGGAATTTTCTAGGTGTTGAAATTTCACGCAATGTTTTACAGTAATGCACGTAACATGAAAATCTTTATTACGTTTCTGAAGTATTTCATTCTAATTTAATTTGCTAATAACAAAGAGTCTGTTTTTACACGTTTGTGTATATGCGTATACGTATCTTCATAAAGTAGCAGTTTACAATACAAGTGAAGTTGATTCAAATTGCTTATACTTGAAAGTAAGTATGATGCAATGTGACAAAACGTATTTTTTTATCTCTCGACATTAGTGTAGCAGCAGTGGAGACTTATCACCGAAATCTATTGTGGTGCTGATACGGCATGTTAAAATAAGGGAAGCGAACGAGGGAGATGAGCCACAATATTGCAGGCATGCCACCCTTTGCAAGGATGCCTTTGGGGGGTATGGGTATGGGTGTGAATATGGGTCCTAGTGCCCCACATCCTGAATCTTCTCCTCACCCTCATCCACCACCACCACCACCTACTGGTGCCAATCCAAAAAAGAAAAGACGCACAAACGCGAATGTTGCTCAACCACCGCCGCAACAACCTCCAACAGTGCAGGTAAATCTTTGTTTCAGTCGGTTCTTATCAGTTTTCAATGATAACTGTTAAATTCCATTCCTTACGATACCTATGAAAAACATACTTTCAGGATTTATTACCTCCACCTTTAACCGGTTATGGAGACACAATAGTAGCAAGTAACCCTTTCGACGATACACCGCCGCAAACTACGCAATCGCCGATGATGCACGGTGGACCACCTCATATGCATCCTCATCACCCACACCATATGAGTGGACCACCTATGAGGGGTATGAGTCCTCTAACTTCTATAGGTGGAATGAGTCCTATGATGCCTCACAACATGGGAAGTATGAGTCCAATGGGAAACTCGCCTATGACTAATCATATGAATCATATGGGAGCAATGTCCCCTATGAATCATGCACCGATAGGTGGTATGAGTCCAATGAATAACATGGGCCCAAGTATGCCACCTGGTCCGATGAATACCATGAACAATCATATGAACATGAGTCACATGGGTAACTCTCAACTTAGTGGTCCACCTATGGGTAGTCCGATGAATAATATGAACAGTGGTCCAATGGGTAGTCCGATGAATAACATGGGACACAGTATGGGAAGCCCTATGGGTGGCCCATTAGGATCTCCGATGAATACAATGGGAGGATCAAATCATATGCCTAATGGACCAATGAATATGAACAATATTAATAGCCATATACCACCTAACAGCCCATTGAACGGGCCATCTATGAACAATGTGAACAGCCCGCTCGGACACAACGGATCTCAACCACATCCGAATCATATGGGAAATAATCTTAATAACTTAGGCAGGCCCATAAACGGACCTATGACCACCATGAGTTCCATGGTATCCAATAACATGAATATGAGTGGTCCAAATCAAATAAACAATATGAACATGGGCGGACCGCCGATGAATAATATGACCAATATGAGTATTAGTCATCATAATCAAATGAGCCACATGGGTGGTCCAATGGGTACAATGTCTAGTAATATGGCTGGTGGTCCACCAATGGGACATCCCATTAATATGGGAGGTTCTATGCCACCTCATGGTTTCCAAGGTCCACCGGGAATGGGACCAAAACCAATGCCAGTTTCTGCGGGAAAGGTAACTTGAGATTTGTCGATATCGTCGATACCACCACGTATTTCTGTTATTCGATATTGAAACTTATCGAGTAAGTTTGCGCTGTTTCAATATTACAGATATATCCTCCAGATCAGCCAATGGTGTTTAATCCACAAAATCCTAATGCTCCACCTATTTATCCTTGTGGAGTCTGTCACAAAGAAGTGCACGATAATGATCAGGCAATTCTATGTGAGTCAGGTTGTAATTTCTGGTTTCACAGGTATATAAGAAATCGTGTACTTTTTTGAACGTACTACTAGTTCAAAAGCATTTACTTAGCATATGTTATAAAAATTTGTTCCAGGGGATGCACAGGATTGTCGGAAACTGCCTATCAATTGTTAACGGCAGAAGTGTACGCAGAATGGGTGTGTGATAAGTGCTTGCAATCGAAAAATATACCTTTGGTTAAGTTTAAACCATAACACTTCTTGACTCGTCGTATATGCGACGCACGAGTGACTCTTTGTTAGCGTTTACACCTTGTACACGCACACATGCGCGTGCGATTGCACACACATAAACACATACGGATTACACTAATGCACGAGCGAAATCGTGCATATAATATAAACATGCGCTGTTTGTTAATATCTTAGCTTTAACTTGTTGAAATATTAGGGTATCACTATGAGTCGTATTGATGAATGAGATGGCAGGAACAACATATGTTCGAAAGTTACATTAATTTTTGAGTCTGTTTATGACAAGTGGATTCGTCTGTTTGAAAAATTATTTATAATTTGACTTTACAAATTCTGAAGTCATTGATTTGTTTTCATTGCCGTTGCAACGTCAAATATATAAGAAATAAGTCCAGAAGGCATACACATTTTTTAAAGAAAACAGTGAAAAAAATATCAAAAAAAAAAAAGGAGAGGAGAGTTGAGGGGGAAAGGAAGAGTGAGCGAGCGAGTGAGAGCGACAGAGAGAGAGAGAGAGAGAGAGAGAGAGAGAGAGAAATAATAAAAAGTATA